TTACTCCAGACACAGACACACAGACACAGACACACACACAGACACAGACACAGACACACACAGAACGCACACACAACTCAGTCGGTAGGAACCCGCTTGTCAGTCGATTGTGGGATCACTTTCCGGGGGTAACAACCCCTTCAAAATAATAATAATAATAATAATAATAATAATAATTTGGTCGTCTCAACCCCCGACTGTTTGCGGAGGACGTCGTTGGGCGCGGTCGCTTCGCCCACAAAAACGCGCAGTCACTACCCTTGACGGCGTATCCCGGGAAGCGCTTTGAGGCGTTGGGCCGAAGGGCAGCATTGTTGCTGTTGAGTCACAAGGAAGGAAATTTGTCGCAAATACAGTCACTACACTCTCGCAGCCGAGCGACTGACTCACTTACAACTATTTCTGCTTTCCTTCAACAGGAAGAGATGAAGAGGGTGGGACCGAGCGAGTGAAAGAGGAGATACTCAACCGTGGTCAGCGGACAGAGCGAGAGAGAGAGAGAGAGAGAGAGACAGAGACAGAGACAGAGAGCGAGACAGAGAGAGAGATAGACAGAGAGAGACAGAGAGAGAGCGCGAGCGACAGAGAGCGCGAGAGAGAGACAGAGAGAGAGAGAGAGAGAGAGAGCGCGAGAGAGACAGAGAGAGAGAGAGAGAGAGAGAGACAGAACAAGAAAGAGTGAGAGAAAGAGAGAGAGAGAGTAAAAGAGAAAGAGGAAGAGAGAAAGAAAGGAGAGAGTGAGAGAGAGACAGCGAACGTGAGCTCCAGTGGCTTCATCCCTTTATTTTTTTTTCACACGCTCACTCCCTCGGCCTCTACTCCCCCCCACTCCCCCCCACTCCCCCCCCGTTACCCCCAGCCCCCAGGAGGGGGGGATGCGTCGCGCTTGCTGACCGGACAGGGCAGTCGGAGAGTGACCCGAGCCATGGCTCAGTTGGTGGGGGAGAGGGGAGCCTGACTCTCCGAGTGTAGTGACTGTGTGTTTTTGCGGGCGAAATGTGACAGCCAATTGCGCCCAGAGACCCCCCCCATTTTTTTTTGAGGGATTTTTACCCCCCGAAGAGCGATTCCCTCCGCCCCCCCCCCCATCGACTAACCAGCGGGTTCCTACTGACTGCTGGTAATCACAGGTGCGTGTGTGTGTGTGTGTGGGTGTGTGTGTGGGTGTGTGGGTGTGTGTGTGTCTAAGTGTGTGTGTGGGGGTTAAGGAAACTTGCCCACCATTTCGTCCCCCCGCCTGGGAATCGAACCCGGGTCCTCTTGCTTGCGAGACAAGCGAGCGAGCGAGCGAGCGAGAGAGAGAGAGAGAGAGAAGGGGGAGGAGAGAGAGAGAGAGAGAGAGAGAGCGAGGAAGGAAGAAGTGGGTGCAAGAGGAAGAGGGAGAGAGGAGGGAGGACGGAGAGAGAGCGAGAGTGAGAGCGCGCGCGCGCGTGTGTGTAGTGTTCGTTCAGGAGCGCGTGAGAGCGAGAGCGAGAGAGAGAGAGAAGAGGAGAGGCCGAGAGAAGAACGAGTGAGGGAGTGAACGAGAGAGAGCGAGAGAGAGAGAGAGAGAGAGAGAGAGAGAAAAGGAAAAAAAATGTGCAATGTCAGCCAAGACAGCTGCAACATCGACTCGCGGTTAGACAGCCTCTTCCCTCCGACCCTCTACATCTTCGTGATGGTGATCGGGTTCCCCACCAACTGCCTGTCCCTCTGGGCGGCCTTCGTCCAGGTCCGTCAGAAGAACGAGCTGGGGGTCTACCTGCTGAACCTGTCGATCTCCGACCTGCTGTACATCGCCACCTTGCCCCCCTGGGTCAACTACTTCCTCCACCAGGACAACTGGATCCACGGGCCCGAGTCCTGCAAGCTCTTCGGCTTCATCCTCTACACCAACATCTACATCAGCATTGGGTTCCTCTCCTGCATCTCCGTGGACCGTTACCTGGCAGTCGCCCACCCGCTGAAGTTCGCCAAGGTCCGGCGGGTCAAGACGGCCGCCGTGGTGAGCGCCGTGGTCTGGGCCATCGAGATCGGGGCGAATTCGGCCCCACTCTTCCACAACGAGCTCTTCGAGGACCGGTTCAACCACACCTTCTGCTTCGAGAAGTACCCCATGGAGGACTGGGTGGCTCAGATGAACCTCTACCGGGTTTTTGTGGGCTTCCTGTTCCCCTGGGTGCTGATGCTCTTCTGCTACCAGGGCATCCTCCGAGCCGTGAAGACCAACGTCTCGACCGAGCGGGAGGAGAAGGCCAAGATCAAGCGCTTGGCCCTCAGCCTCATCGCCATCCTCCTCTTCTGCTTCGCCCCCTACCACCTCATCCTCCTCTCCCGCAGCGTGGTCTACCTGGGCCAACCCTGCGACTGCACCTTCGAGGAGAACATCTTCACTGCCTACCACGTCTCGCTGGCTCTGACCAGCCTGAACTGCGTGGCCGACCCCATCCTGTACTGCCTGGCCAACGAGGGGGCTCGCAGCGAGGTGACCAGGGGCCTGGCCCCCCTCATGAAGTTCTTCAGTGCCTCCAGGCCTAATATGGACTCGTTCGCCCGCTCGGTCACCCTGGACACCCCCCTGGTCTTCAAGAAGGGCAGCTGCTCCTTCACCTCGGAGCTGGTCACTTTGCGGACAGACAGGGGGCCGGGGTCGGAGATCGAGGGTCAGGAGGCGGAGGGATTGTAAATGTCCGGGGCCTGTCTCGCGTCCCCGTTTCCTTCCCCCCCCCCCCCACTCGTGGGACGCAAGCGTGATGGAGGCGTGTGCTATCGGTGGTGTTATTTAAGGAAGAACTTCATTCCACCCTCACCCCCTCCCCCTAACCCCCCTCCCCCCAAGCCTCATCCCTTCCCCCTAACACCCCTCCCCAAGCCCCTCCCCCCTAATGCCCCTCCCTCCAAGCCTCAACACCCTAACCCCCCTCCGCCCCAAGCCCCATCCCCTCTCCCCCCTAACCCCCCTCACCCCAAACACCAGCCCCCTCCCCCTTAATCCCCCATCCCCCAAGCCCCACCCCACTCCCCCTAACCCCCCCTCCCCCCAAGCCCCACCCCCTGCCCCCTAACCCCCCCTCCCCCAAGCCCCACCCCCCCCCCCCCATGATGAATCGTAGAGATTTATTTATGAAAATTAAATTTACAAAAATCAAATGGCAATAATATAAGGAAATGACATTTATAATAATTATACGGTTACTCAGAGAAGAGAAAGCGATGTCGATATTCAGGAATGTTTCGGGGGCGGAACACGGCGGCCGATCGCGTACCGCAAACCACACAGTCACTACACTTTACCGTGTATCCTGTGAAGCGCTCTAAGACGCCTCGAAGACGTGACAACAACAACTTGCTTAGTGTGGACGGACGCACAGTGTAGAGGGAGCTTTACTGTGTCCCTAACCCTGACCCATGGGAGTGTAGTGACTGTGTGTTACTGTGTCTCTAACCCTGACCCCTGGGAGTGTAGTGACTGTGTGTTACTGTGTCTCTAACCCTGACCCATGGGAGTGTAGTGACTGTGTGTTACTGTGTCTCTAACCCTGACCCCTGGGAGTGTAGTGACTGTGTGTTACTGTGTCTCTAACCCTGACCCTGGGGAGTGTGGACGGACGCCCAGTGCAGAGAGAGCTTTACTGTGTCTCTAACCTGTGCTCCCGCTGACCTGGGATAAACCTCGTCCCAGTTTCCTTCCCGAGGCCAAAATTCCTGGTCTGTTTTCGGAACAAACATAAACAAAGCCGGGAAGCCGTGTTTATTGCTCTTCTCCTCCCCCTCAGATCCCAGCACTGATCTTCGTCCAAGTTCCATCTGCCAACCAACCCACCCACCCACCCACCCCCCCCCCGCTTTTTTCCCCTCTTATTTCCCCCCCTCGCTCTCTCTCTCTCTCCCCATCCACTTTCTTCCCCTCTTATTTCCCCCCTCATTCTCTCTCTCTCTCCCTCCACTTTCTTCCCTTCTTATTTCCCCCCTCTTCTCCCCCTTGTATTTAATCTCCCCCTCCCACCTTCTCCCCCAACTTATTTCTCCCTCCCACCTCTCCCTCCCTCCCACTGCTCTCTCTCCCTCCCTCCCTCCCTCTCGTCTCTCCCTCCCTCCTTTCCTCCCTCCCTCCCTCCCTTTCATCTCTCCCTCCCTCCCTTTCATCTCTCCCTCCCTCCCTCCCCCCCTCCCTCTCATCTCTCCCTCCCTTTCATCTCTCCCTCCCTCTCATCTCTCCCTCCCTCTCATCTCTCCCTCCCTCGTTCTGTCCGGCTGACATTCCACGGGTCTGGAATCTGTTTACGAGGGAATGAATGGACAGTTGGAAGATGGAGCTGGAACTGGGAACGGGATCACAGCTCGGTTATTCCCAGTGGAATCTGGGAGCCAAGTGGTTCACACGCTCCCTGGACACAGGCAGTGACACAGACCTAAGGGCGGGGGGTGGGGGGGGTGGGTCAGGCTCAGGACATAACCCCCACCCCCACCCCCCACATCTCGAACACGTGATGAGACGCTTTATCAAATACAAAGATTATTATTAATAAAAAATGGTCAAACCAGTCAGAGAACCAGACAGGTGGGCAGCCTCGTTTATCCGAGCACTGGTAGTAGTGCGTGTGCGTGTGCGTGTCTGTTTGTGCGTGTGAGTGTCTGTGTGTGTGTGTCTGTGTGTGTTTGAGTCTGGGTGTGTGAGTCTGTGTGCATGTGTCCGTGTGAGTCTGTGTGACTATGTGTCTGTGTGTGTGAGACTATGTGTGCGCGTCCATGTGTGTGTGTGTATGCGAGTGTGCATCCATGCGTGTGTATGCGAGTGTGTGTCCATGTGTGTGCATGCGAGTGTGTTTGTGCCCAAGTCTGTGAGTGCGAGTCTACGTATGTGCGTGTGTCAGTCTGTGTGTGTCAGTCTATGTACGTGAGTGTGTGCGCGCGCCTGAGTCTGTGTGCGTGAGTCTGTGTGCGTGAGTCTGTGTGGGTGTGTTGCGTGTGCGTGTGTATTCCCAGTCATGGCTCAGCGGTCAGGACAGGGAGTTCTGAGTGTAGACTGACACTACCCAGAAGATCAGGGACACAGATTAGAAGAAGGCTCTGTGTTTAATAAACATAAGACAACTCAACCCATCACAGGTCCCAGAGCTTCTCCCTCAGGGCAATCAGATTAGAGTAGAGAGCTCCAGTGTGAGGGGGAGCGAGCCCCAGCATAGACACGATGGGGGGAAAGAGAGAGAGAGAGAGAGGGGAATGGGGTTAGGGTAAGAGCGTTCCATTGGGGGAGTGAGCCCCAGCCACAGACATGATGGGGGGAGAGATAGAGAGAGAGAGAGAGCGGGGGAGAGGAATGGGGTTAAGGTAGAGAGCTCTAGTGGGGGAGCAAACCCCAGCACAGACACGATGGGGAGAGAGAACGAGGGCGAGAAAGAGACTGTGCGAGAGAGAGCGAGAGAGAGAGAGAGAGAGAGAGAGAGAGACAGCGGAGGGGAATGGGGTTCGACTAGAGAGCTCCAGTATTAGGGGGAGCGAGCCCCAGCCACAGACATGATGGGGAGAGAGAGAGAGAGAGAGAGAGAGCGCGCGGGGTTGGGGGGAATGGGGTTCGGGTGGAGAGTGCCAGTGTGAGGGGGGGGGAGTGAGCCCCAGCACAGACACGATGGGGGGGGGAGAGAGAGAGAGAGAGAGAGAGAGAGGGAGAGAGCAGGAGGGGGTTCGGGTAGAGAGCGCCAGTGTGAGGGGGGGGGGGGGGGGGGAGCGAGCCCCAGACACAGTGGCCCCCCCCATCGTGTCTGTAAAAACTCACTCCCAGAAAAAAAACTTTCCCACAAACTTTTGCCACCGACTCCGCCGCACCCTCCGCCGGGAATCTCACCGACGCCAACGACTTTAACAATAATTAATAACGATATTAACAATACTTTAGATAACAATCCGTCACGGGGATTTTAATGATAATCCTGGCGTTGGGACACCCCCCACCCACCTCCCCCACCTCCCTCCCCCCCTCCCCCCCCACCGGCCCCTTATCGCGTCTTCCGAGACGTCTCGAAGCCCTCCACGGGACACGCTGTCGAGTGTGGTGACTGTGCGCTCGATTGGGCTCGGGCCCTGGGGTGCCTGAACGCCAGGATTATTAGTGATTGCGGTCAACTGGCATGCAAGCCAACAAATCCATTGACCCCCCCCCACCCCCACCAACCCCCCCATCCCACACACTACCCCCCCTCTGCCCTGCCCTCCCCTTCCCCCCCCCCCACCACCACACACACACAATATCTCCCCAAGTTTTGGGAGGTTTGTGGGGTGGGGGCAACCGATCCCAAGTCTTTGGGAAGAATTAAGTCCTCATCACTGAGGAAGACAGTGATGATGATGAAGGTTTGCGGACGTCACATTCTCTCCTTCTTTACCTTTTTCTTCTTCCTCTTGTGGGAGGACTTGGGGGGCTGTGGGGGAGGGGTCTCCTCCCGCTCGCCCTCCTCGCTCTCGGCCTCCCCCGCCTCTTCCTGGTCTCTCTTCCTCTTCTTCTTCTTCTTCTTCTTCTTTCTCTTCTTCTTCCGCTTGGAACCTTCTCCCTCCCCCTCCTCCTCCTCCTCTTCCTCCTCACGGGAAGCCTTCTCGGGAGTGGGGAGCGGAGGGTGGGCTCCGAAGGGCTGGAAGCGCTGCTTCAACCCCTCGGGAATGGGGGGCAGGGGTCTGGGGGGGATGGGGTGCAGCTCCCCCCCCTCCCCCTCCTCGCCCTCCGCTTCGTCGCTGAAGCTCTCGGCCACGGTGATGCAGCCGGCGAACTCTCGCTGGGTCTTCCCGGCCCCCAGGAGCCGGGCCCCGACCGGACCCCCGAGGGTCCCGAACACTCCGTACGTCTGTCGCTTGCCCCCCGACTCCGTCGGCACCGTCTGGAAGCCCACCAGCGGCACCCGCTTCCCGGCAAAACTACCGCAAGCAAACAAACAAACGCACAAACAAACAAAATAAACAATAAAATAAATAATACAACAAACAAACAAATAAAATAAACAGTAAAATAAATAATAAAACAAACCAAAAAAATAAACAATAAAATAAACGACAAAACAACCACAACAACTTGCATTTACGCATAGCGTTCCTCGCGCAGGGCGGAGTGGCAGAGCTTTTATTAATAATATTAATAATGAATAATATTAATAACATTAATATTAATAAAAAATAATGTTAATAATATTAATAAAACAAACCCCCGTTTACCCCCCTCCGCTCCCCCCGACTCCCCACAAGTCTCAAAGCAGCCCCGAGCTCCCACGCCCCCCCCCCCCCCAACTCTCTCTCTCTCTCTCTCTCTCTCTCTCACCTCTGTGGGGTGAAGTTTGCGGGGGCTCTGATCAGCCACAGCTCAGCGTCGGTGTCCGCCACCGTCTTCCGCTTCAGACCCCGAGACAACGGGCATCGGGTGAAGTCCGGCGGGCAAGGGAAGCTGGTGCCAACGTCTGGGGGTGGTGGGGGGGGCAACAACAAGAGGGGCAAAAAGGTCAGTAACATTTCCCAAAATGTGGGTCGTAATCAATTAGCCCCCCCCACCCCCACCCCTTGGCACTGCCCCCCCTGCCCACACACACCGCCCCTCCCCCACCCCCCCACCCTCCCCTTTGGGCGAGAGATAAAAAAAACAAGCGGAATAGCAATAAAAAAACAATATGGATTAATTAACAATTAGAATTGCGTTTGATCCAGCGCCCGATCACGTGTAGTGACTGTGCGTGTGACTCGGGGGCCAAACCCGGCAGCCGATCGCGCCCGGCGACGTCCCCACAAACAGCCGCGGGGGTCGAAGCCACCGAATTATTATTGTTTCGAAGGGATTATTACCCCCGAAAAGTGATCCCCCAATCGCCTGACAAGCGACTGACTACCGGGGACACAGGCATGTGGGTGTGTGTGTGTGTGTCTGTGTGTGTATGTGTCTGTGTGTGTCTGTATGTATGTGTGTGTCCGTGTGCTTGTGTGGGCTCGAACCCACAACCTCTTGACTGGGTCAGGCTGACACCTGATCATTGAGACAAACCTTCATCCACCTCTACTGTCTCTTGGGCTGGTGTCGTCTGGTCTTGTCCTGTGCTCACCTGCGTCTCCTCCTCACTCGTCTCACCCTCGCTACTCGACACCACCCACTGCTTCCTGTTCATCTCTCCCTCCCTCCCTCTCAGCCACACTCTCCCCCTCACCTCCCCTCTCCCTCACCTCCCTCTACTCCCCACTCCCACTCTCCTCGTCCCTCCGGCTGTTTACACTCTGGCTGCCTCACACCAGACTCTCCTCCGCTGTGTATTCTGCTCTGCTCCTCGCAGGGCCCTGTGTTGGTACTGTGTAAACTGTGTACCGTGTATGCTAAACTGTCCCTCGTACGCACTCAAGTGTCCTGTGTACACTCTGGGTGTTCTGTCCCCTGTATACAAGCTTTAGCCCTCTCAACAGCGTCCTGTACACAGTGTTTTAACTCTCTGCTCCATGTACACACGCACTAACACGTGCACACTCTATCTCAGTAGTTTCCTGTACACATACTGTGTAGTTCTCTGTCGCTGTATATACACACACACTTGGGGTATATATACACACACGCGAGTGCCTTGGGATGTCCTCCCGACGTGAAAGGCGCTACTACACAGATGTAACGTTGTTGCTATAACCGTCTGTCACCTTCTGCCCGTGTGTACACACACACACTGTATACACTGTATCTCTCTGTTGCCTGTGTACACACTGTATCTCTGTGTATACACACACACACAGTAACAATGTATGCTCTGCCCCCTTGTGTACACACAAACACTGTAACACTGTATCCTCCGGCCCCTGTGTACACACTGTATCCCTTGTGTACACACACAGAATCCCCCGTATACACACACACCGTAACAATGTACCCCCTGTACACACTGTATCCCCTGTACACACTGTGTCACTGTATCCCCTGTACACAGTAACACTGTATCTCCTGTACACACTATAACACTGTATCCCCTGTACAGTAACACTGTATCCCCTGTACACACAGTAACACTGTATCCCCTGTACACACAGTAACACTGTATCCCCTGTACACACAGTAACACTGTATCCCCTGTACACACAGTAACACTGTATCCCCTGTAACACTGTATCCTCTGTACACACTGTGACACTGTATCCCCTGTAACACTGTATCCTCTGTACACACAGTAACACTGTATCCCCTGTACACACAGTAACACTGTATCCCCTGTACACACTGTATCCCCTGTACACACTGTGACACTGTATCCTCTGTACACACTGTGACACTGTATCCTCTGTACACACTGTGACACTGTAACCTCTGTGTGTACACAGAGACGGTAACAATGTATCCCTTCCTGTGCTCTCCACGTGCTGCAGATTCTGTATGAATGGCCCTGGATCACTCCACTGCCTCACGTGGGTGGAGAGAGGGGGGGTGTGGGGGGGGTGTGGGGGGGAGAGAGCAGTTACTAACTCCCTTTCCTCCTCACCAACTGCCCCCCACTCCCTCTCCCCCCTCTCCCCCTCATTGCCCGGAGCTTCCCGGACATTCCCAGCTCCCGAGGTGCCTCAGTTGAAGGGTTAATGGAGCTCTCCCCCCCCCCTCCGCCCCTCCAGAGTGGGACAGTCCGGGACTCCACCATTACTCAGTGGGGGAGGGATTTTATTTTACGGGTTAAAAAAAACACAGTTGTGGCATTTATCGGCCCCGACGGCCGCCGCGGGTCGTGTTTTGCGGTCGAGTTGTACCCGTCCCGTGTGTTCTGCGGTGTTTCGTTGCGGTATTGGGCGTTGGAATGAAGCGGAACATCACTCGCCCCCCCCAGAGGTTTGCGCGGAATGGATTAGTCTCCGCGTCTTAAAGGGACCCGACTCGACCCGTCCATTGGTGACAAAATGGGAAGGACGGGGGGGGGGGAGAGGGGGGGATCCTGATTTCTCTGCCACACACACACACACAGAGTCTGTAAAGTCATTGCTCCTCCGTTGTGAGTCGCTGTCCTCCGTTGTTTCCGGATCGATCCAATCATTTCTTCCCTCTATTTTGCAGGAAATTGGGTAACTCACCTCTCCTCCCCCCCCACACGCGCTGTGAGATGGTTTATTCCGGAGACCACGTGATTTAAAGGGGAGGGAGCGGCGGATTTCTCTCTCTGCCGACAGTAATTAATACACATCAATTGCTTTATTATATTATAGTTATTATATTATTTTATATTATTGTTATATTATATTATTATTTTATTCTATTATCATTATATTATTATTTTATATTTTATTATATTATTATTGTATTATTATTTTATATTATTGTTATATATTATTATTTTATTATATTATCATTATATTATTTTATTATATTATTTTATTATATTATTGTTACATTATTATTGTATTATTATTAATATAACCACAGTAATTAATAATAGCAATAATAATCATCATCATCATCATCATCTTTATCCCGGGGTGTGACCCCGGCGCCCGATCGCGTCCTCGAGACGTCTCAAAGCGCTTCACGGGACACGCTGTCGAGTGTAGTGACTGTGCGTGTGTTTCGGGGGCCAAACCGCAGCAGCCGACCGCGCCCGGCGACGTCCCCACAAACAGCCGCCGGGGTTGAAGCGACCGAATTATTATTGTTTTGAAGGGACTGTTACCCCCGAAAAGTGATCCCCCAATCGCCTGACAAGCGACTGACTGCCGGGGACACAGGCGTGTGCGTGTGCGTGTCTGTGCGTGTGTGTGGGTGTCTGTGTGTGTGCGTGTCTGTGCGTGTGTGTGGAAACTTACACAACCAGCTGTGAGGAACATTTCAAAGTAATAAAAAAAATTTATTAATAATTTAAAACGTTAACTACTCGCCAACAATAATCTAGAGAATCTGAGACTGAACCCGAGTGAGGGGGTGGGGGGGTGGGGGGGGGCATTGGACATCGCAGAGTTTACTGGAGTGTGGGTGGGGAGGGGGGGAGGGGGGAAGTGACGTTACCCCCACCCTCTGATCTCTGCTCTGTCCTCACCCCCCCCACCGCCCACCGCCCAAAGCGCCCGATCACGTCACCGAGACGTCTCGAAGCGCTGTGTTTTGGGGGCCAAACCCGGCAGCCAATTGCGCCCCAACAACGACAACAACAAAATTACAGCGACGTCCCCACAAACAGCCGCGGGGGCGGGGGCGGGGGGGGGTTATTATTGCTTTGAAGGGATTATTACCCCCGGAAAGTGATCCCTCGTGGACTGACAAGCGGGTTCCCACTGACAGGCGTGTGTGTGTCTGTGTGTGTGTGTGTGTGTGTGTGTGTGGGGGGGGGGGGGGAATAAGGAGACTTGCCCACACACACACACACACACACACACACGCACACCCACAATGTCCGCCTGTAAACAGTCGTTGCTTCGCTCGCGCACACGGCATCGGGATATCACCACGGCATCCATCCCGGGAATGTGCCGACTTCACACCGGCCCCCGGCCCCGGACCTGCAAACAGTCCCAAACACACCAGCCGTCAGACTGACACACACACACACACAACCACACGCGCACACACTCGCAACACACACACGCATGTGTCTGCGTGTGCTTGTCTGTGTCTGCGTAGGTCTGTGCGTGCGTAGGTCTGTGCGTGCGTGTGTCTGTGCGTGCGTGTGTCTGTGCGTGCGTGTGTCTGCGTGTGTCTGCGTGTGCTTGTCTGCGTCTGCGCAGGTCTGCGTGTGCGTGTGTCTGTGTGCGCGTGTGTGTCCCTCGCCCCACCACCGCCCCCCCCCCCGCTGTGCGCGGTTACCTGTGGGGGCCGGGGCGTGTGTCCGGGTGTAGCCGGGGCGTGTGTTATCGGGGGAGGCGTTGGTCGCAGGAAGGACAGGCAGAAGCCCGCGCTTTTCCGTGACACAGAGCCGTGTGTTCGAGCAGCTTCCAGCGCAGTGTAAACCCGTGTTGGCAAATCTACAGTCATCACAACAACAACAACAACAACAATAATAAAAACAACAACAATAATAATAACAATAATAACAACAATAGTAATAATTTCACGTCAATAATAACAATCCCGGGGTGTGACCCGGCGCCCGATCACGTCGTCGAGACGTCTCAAAGCGCTTCACGGGACACGCTGTCGAGTGTAGTGACTGTGTGTTTGTGTTTTGGGGGCCGATCGCGCCCGGCGACGTCCCCACAAACAGCCGCGGGGTCGAAGCGACCGAATTATTATTGTTTCGAAGGGATTATTACCCCCGGAAAGTGATCCCCCAATCGCCTGACAAGCGACTTGACTGCCGGGGACACAGGCGTGTGCGTGTGTGTGTTTTGTGTCTGTGGATCCGCGTGTGTGCGTCTGTGTGTGTGCGCGCGTCCGCATGTGTGTGCGTCCGTAACTCCACGTACCTTACACCAGTGCGTCCGGCGTTCCCTGGTGCTCCTCCTGCCGCCCGGCTCGGTGGTCTTGCCCGGGTTCTGGCCGCCCGGGGTCCCCGCCGGCTGCTGCCCGGGCACCTTGTCCCGGCACGCCCGGCGTTTCCGGCATTCCGTGCGGAGCGGGTAGCCCGAAGCCGGAGCCGGAGCTGCCCCCTTCTCCCTCCCCCTCGGCCCGGCCTGGCCCCCCTGCCCCCTCCCCCCGCGAACCCCCGGTAACTCCCCCTGGCTCGCGGCCGGGCGGCACAGCCGGCAAACACCGCCCCCCCGGCCGGCCAGCTCCGGGCCCTCCAGGAAGACCCCGCACAGCGAGCAGGTGGGCCGGGGGTCTGCGTCCGCTCGCGCCCCCCCACCCCCCCGACCCCAGCAGGCCTCCTCCTCGCTCGGCCCGGACCCCTCGGCGCTGCTCTCGCTGCTGCTGGACCAGCCGTTCTCTGTCAGGAACCCCTCCAGGATCACGTCGTCGCCGGGGAAACGGACCTCCCCTTCCTCCAGCTCCTCGTCTTCCTCCTGCTCCCCCTGACCCCGCTCTTCGGTTCGTCCGTTCCCCGCGACCCTGGGAAACCCCTCCCCCGTCCCGGCCACCTCCGGGGTCTCCGCGCACTCCATCTTCATCTTCTTCCCTCCGACCTCCTCCCCCTCTTCCTCCTCCATCTCCTTCTAAACAACAACAACACAGTCAGGGGTTTGGCCCCGAGTGGGGGTCGGGGTCAGGGTGGAGGGGGTTGGGGGGGGGGGGGGTTGACCCAAGGCACAGTTGGTCGATGAGGAGGGTCTTGAGTTGGGCCTCGAAGGAGGTGAGGGTGGGGTTGAAACCCGGCAGCCAATTGGGTCTGGGCGGCCTGAGGGGGGGAGGGAGCGACGGGGCAGGGAGGTGGTGGGGGGGGGGGTGCGGGCGAGAAGGGGTAACGGGGTCAAGTCACGGCACGGATTTCGGGGTTCATGTACCTCTGTGCTGGTGGCCATCCCCGGCTCTGTCTGCGTCTGGTCAACCACCTCCTGCTTCACCCGCACCAGGGCCAATGTCTGTGACCCATCGGTCACTCTGCCACCGGCCGCTCCTTCAATGGTCACTTGACCATCGATCACGTGCCCGATGGTCACTTGGGCATCGGTCACTCCTCCACCGGCCACTCGGGCATCAGTCACTCCTCCATTGGTCACTCTGCGATCGGTCACTCCTCCACCGGTCACTCCTCCATTGGTCACTCGGGCATCAGTCACTCGGGCATCAGTCACTCGGGCATCAGTCACTCCTCCACCAGTCACTACTCCACCGGCCTCTCCTCCACCGGCCTCTCCTCCACCGGCCTCTCCTCCACCGGCCTCTCCTCCACCGGTCACTCCTCCACCGGCCACTCCTCCACCGGTCACTCCTCCACTGGCCACTCCTCCACCGGCCACTCCTCCACCGGCCACTCGGGCATCAGTCACTCGGGCATCAGTCACTCCTCCACTGGTTACTCCTCCACCGGCCACTCCTCCACCGGTCACTCGGACATCGGTCACTCGGACATCGGTCACTCGGACATCAGTCACTTGGGCATCAGTCACTCTGGCATCAGTCACTCGGGCATCAGTCACTCCTCCACCAGCCACTCCGCCCCCGGTGCTCTCTCCAGCCGCGCACTGACCAGCGACGCACTGAATGACCCAGTCGTGCTTCTGCGGCCAGAGCCCGGCCAGCGCTTCCTGAAGTCCGGGACCGGTGTCGGCGGCGTCCGGCGTCGGGTCAGTGAGGGCCCGAGTCCGGCAGCCGGAGCTGGAGCCGGTGCCGGAGCCGGAGGGCGAGAGCGCTCGGCCCTCGTCCTCCCGGCCCTCGCCGGCCACCGCCTCCTCCTCCTCCCGGATCCCGAAGACCAGCTCGGCGTCCTCGGCGGCTCCGGTCCAGGGGGCGGACAGAGCCTCCAACCAGCGGTCGGCCTGGTAGAACCTGAGGAAGCTCATGGCCGAGCGGAGCCGACGCAGGCGGTTAGGGTCCGGTCTGCGGCACACGGAGCCCGTGTACATCAGCTGCAGGATCAGGTCGAAGTCCTGGGCGGTCACCAGGCTCGAGCTCAGCCGCAGGTCCCGGCCCTCGGGCCGGTGGACGAAGAGCCGGTGGAAGTAGGCGCTGCAGGCGGCCAACACCGCCCGGTGCGCCCGGAAGCGGACCCGACCCACCGACACCGTGCAGTCGCACAGGAAGCCGTACTCCAGCTGCGAGGCCAACTGCCCCAACACGTGGGCGCTGTGGCCGTCCGGGGACATGTGTGCGGGGGGTGGGGGGGGGGACACGCGCGCACGGCGACACGCACAGCGACACGCGCACACAGGGACGCACGCACGCACGCGCACACTCAGGGACGCATGCACACACTCGGGGACGCACGCGCACTCTGGGACGCACGCGCACACACGCGGGGACGCATGCACACACACGCGGGGACGCACGCGCGCACACGCGGGGACGCACGCACACACACACACAGGGACACACACACACACACACACACACAGGGACAGACACACACACACACACAGTGACCCCCTCCCCTCCCCCCCCCCACCCCAGACCCCACACAGTGCACAGTGACCACACAGGGACTGCTCACAGCACCTGTGGGGGAGAGAGAGAGAGAGAGAGGTTTTATTTTCCAAGTTGGAGGGCGCTACATACATCCAAGTTGTTGTTGGTGTTGTTTACTGATTACGATTAATAACGACAACAACAACAACATCAACAAAAAGTTGCGCCAAAACTTTCGGTGCAGTTTTTTTTCCTTTGCGCACTGTTGCAAAGCCCCAAACACACACCCTCACACTCTCTCTCTCCCCCACCCCCCCACCCCGCCCCCACCCCCCTAAGGCCCAACCCCTTTTACCCCCTAAAACACCACCAAGCAATGCTGGGGGAAAGCTCGCGAATCCGGCAGCGATGCAAACGCGCACCCGATGCACATCGAAGTGGGTCCGGGGGGGCGCCTTTTGCACCATTGCACGGATTTTTAAAGGGCCGAATAAATCAATGGAAAGAGATAAAGGAGAACTGGGTTTGCGCGCTGCATGGGGGACCGGGAACCTTGCAATGGTCCCCCTCCCCGCAAAAAAAAAAAACCCGCTTTCCCGGGGGTTTATGCAACCCGGGAGCCAATGCACCCGTTGCCCTTTTTTGCATCGCGTCGAGCTGCCCAATGCATTCGCGGCCACTTCCAACCCACCCTCCCGGGGGCGGCTTTAATCTTCGGAGAAACTCTCCCCCCAAAGCGGCCGCCAGTCCCGGGGACACGCGGGCCCAGGCCTCGAGCGGTCCACTGCGCAGGCGCAGCTTCCCCGGGACCGACCGCGCCGCGGGGCGCGCTGGGAGTTGTAGTTCCGCTCCCACCACCTGGTGTAGTTTTTGTTCGCATCGCTGAGTGGGTCACTGGGTGGGAGGGGGTGGGGGGTGTGTGGGGGGAGGAGGGGTGTGGGGGAGGGGGGAAGGGGGGAAGAAAAACGACGACGACAACAATAAACAGCAACAACAATAACAAACAACAACAAAACAACAACAATAAACAACAATAATAAATAACAATAAACAACAGCACTAACCAACCATAAACAATAATAAACAACAACAATAATAAACAACAACAATAAACGACAGCACTGATCAACAACAGTGAACAACGATAATAAACAGCAACAATAATAAACAACAACAATAGACAACAACAGACAACAATAATCAACAATAATAAACAACAACAAACAATAAACAACAACAAACCACTACCAACAACAGACAACAACAACAAACAATAACAATAAACAGCAACAACAACCACCACCACTAACCAACAACAACAACAACAACAAACAAGGAGGGGAGGTGCCGGGGAGTGAGGGGATTTGAACACGAGAGTGAGAGGATCCATCGGTGACCCCCCACCCCCCCCCCCCCCCCCACCCCCGACCTCCTTAAACCTGGGCTCTCGCCATCCTGCGCCTAATACTCTCCGGAATTAAACGCGATGGGGTTGGGTGGGGGGGGGGGGAGAGGGGGGTTGAGCTGGTAATTCCGCGCGCTCTGAGCGGATCCAGCGACGGGAACCAAGAGACTCCGGGAAGAATTAACGGCGAGCGGGTCGGAAGCAAAAATCAGGAAAAACTTTTAATTCAGCCCAAAACAAGACAAAAAAACACGGGAACATAAGAATTTGCCGGTCCTTTGTAATTCTATCAAAAATAATTCTATTAATAATAATAATAATAATAATAATAATTTTCGCAACTCGAGTCTCGAAACCGCCAGCGATTACAGGAGCGAAATAAAATAAAAACTCCTCGGCAAATTCGCCGTCAATAAACACTCCCCCCACCGCCCCCCACCCCCCCCCACACCCGCCCCGACGGTAAAAACCTCGCTCTGTCCCGTCTGCCGAGAGTTCCTTCGCTTCCCGGTAAAACACCGCAGGAAACTTCGAGGTGAACAGACTCCGAACTTCCTCCCAATGTGGACGACACTTTTTTATTTATTTATGGATAATAATACTCATAATTATTGTTATGATCCGAATTATTTCACAGCAGTCGTTGCCTTGCAGTGAGCTTTTAACATTCGGGATATTTACATTCTCTCTCTCTCCTCTCTTAACAGCTTTTAAGAGAGTAGCCCGTTATTTGGGGAGGGGAAGTTTGAGGGCTATGGGGAGAGCGCGGGGGAGTGGGGTTGATCAGGGCTATGGGGAGAGAGCGGGGGAGTGGGGTTGATCAGGGCTATGGGGAGAGAGCGGGGGAGTGGGGTTGATCAGGGCTATGGGGAGAGAGCGGGGGAGTGGGGTTGATCAGGGCTATGGGGAGAGAGCGGAGGAGTGGGGTTGATCAGGGCTATGGGGAGAGAGCGGGGGGAGTGGGGTTGATCAGGGCTATGGGGAGAGAGCGGGGGGAGTGGGGTTGATCAGGGCTATGGGGAGAGCGCGGGGGAGTGGGGTTGATTTGGAAGCTCTTTTCAAAGAGCGGCACAGACACGATGGGCCGAATGGCCTCCTTCTGCGCTTAATAATCCTACGATTCTTTCTCTGTCCCTCTCTCCGTCTCTCTCTCTCTCCGTCCCTCTCTCCGTCTCCGTCTCTCTCTCTCTCTCTCTCCGTCTCTCCGTCAATCTCTCTCTCTCTCTCTGTGTGCCCCCTTCTCCTCCGCCGGGCTCCTACTGGCGGGTCCTCCTGCCCGCCGAGTTGCGTCCGTGGTTGCGGTAGAGCGAGTGCCGGTTGGTGTTCCGGTGGCAGTAGTTGAGGGTGTGGGCGCCGTCTCCGGTCGCCTGGCACAGCGGGCACACATAATTCCTGAGGATGGGGCAGAGCACTTTCCCGCTGCCCTCCTTCAGCACGTGGGACGTGTAGACCTTCCTGCTCTCACCGTTGTGCTTGCAGAAGGTGCAGACTCCCGCGAGCGTCGCGCCCTCGAAGCCCACCCCTTCCTCTCTCTCTCCTCCTCCTTCTCCTCCTCCCGTTTTTTCCGGCAAAGGGGTGGGGGGGAAGCTACGGAACGCTCCCCGCAACCCCTCGGCCTCCCTCCTCAAGCCCACCACGGTCTCGGAAAGCCTCAGGTAGTCCCTCCACATCTCGAAGTCTCCCGGCTTGCGCCCCGTCGGGCGGAGGGGGCCGTGGGTCTGCATGGCTGGCCGTCGACCGGTTGCTTTCGGAGGGTCTCTGCTGCGAGCGGAATTGTGGGGGCGCGGGAGGGGCTTTCTGCCCACCCTCTGCTCCGCACGGGATGTTGGAACACCTGCCCTGACCCCACCTGCAGCTCTTTAATATTAAAAGCACCAGCGTCTCAGCATTTCGCAGACGCTGCTCACCTCTCTGACTGATTATTAGTGTCTCTCTCTCTCTCTCTCTCACTCCCACCCACCCACCAGCCCACCAGCCCCCACCCCAATCCCAACCCCACCCACCGCCAGACCCAAAACACAGACAATCTGACTCCTTTACTCCCTTGAAAAAAAAATGCAGACAGACAGACACAGACACACACACCCCACTCTTTTGCAGATACTTTTATTTTGCTCGTTCCTTGGAAGAATTGCAACTAAAACTGGATTTAATTGAGGGCTTCGCTGGTCATCCCACTCCCCCCCCCCCCCCCCCCACCCCCCCCCCACCACCCAGTCCCCGATTAAACGAGTCGAATGCTTCTTTTTTTTCTCGCGGTGGTCCGGCAGAGTTCGCAGAGTGACTTGAGCGAGTTGGTTAAGTTAGTCCGTTAGCTTCTTGGCGGGTTCTTGGCTGAGTTCCCTCTACTTGGCTGGGAATAAGGGAATCGATGGAGGGGTGGGGTGGAGGGTGGGGGGTGGTGGGTGGGGGGGGGGGGCTGGACTGGACTGTGAGTGAGGGAATGTTTTTCCTCTGCAGTTAATCAGCTGCGCTTTTAGAAGAAACAATTTATCCCCAAATCAATGCGGTGGTAATCAGACGGTGACAGTGAATCGGGGATTGATACCTTTACAGCTCCTCCTGTGAGTTATCCCTTCGAATCCCATAAAGGTGAATAATAATAATCGTGCGGTCACTCCAATCCACGGCTGTTTGTGGGGCAGTCCCTGGGACGAGATTGGCCTCCGCGTTTCGCCCCCCCCTTTCCCCCCCCCCCACAAAAAAAGCACAGTCACTGCACTTTACCGTGTGTCCCGTGAAGCGCTTTGAGACGTCTCGACGACGTGATCAGGCGCCGGGTCAAACGCCGGGGTTATTATTATTATTACCACGTATGTGTCTGTCTCTGTGCGTGTGCCTGTGTGTGTGTATTATTATACACCCATAGACACACAGACACACACAGACACACACATACATACAGACACGCACACACAGACACACACACAGACGCACACACACACAGACACATACATACAGACACACACACACAGACACATACATACAGACACACGCATACAGACACACACATACAGACACACTCACGCTGACACACGCATACATACAGACACACACACAGACAGACACACATACAGACAGACACGCACACGTGATAATAATAATAATAATAATAATAATCCTGGCATTCGACCCGGCGCCTGATCACGCCTGAAAGCGCTTTGCGAAGTGTAGTGACTGCGTGTCGTGTGTGTGCGGGTGGGTGGGGAGGGGGGGGTAGGGTTGTGTGTGTGTGTGTGTGCGTGTGTATGTGTGTGTGATGGCAGTCCTCGCAGTCTGGGTACCACACCAACCCCCCCCACCCCCCCCACCCTGTGTACTCAGCCTCCCGCGGTGGCGGGGGAGCCATCCTGGGCTTTCGCCTGTATGAAGACCAGCCCTGTCAGGCCATATATAGACATATGGTGGATTCCACGCATTCATTGGCCGCTCCAGCCACCAAAATGCCTGTCAAGGCTCGAGCTTCCCCCCTCCCCGTCTCCGAGTCTTTAGGCACCAAAATGTTGTGGCAGGTTCGGCCGCAGACGATCCCCCCGTGAGAGGCCCCTTTTCCTCCCCGAAGCCGGCCCAAGCCATGCTCCGCACGCTCAGATAACACCGCTCTCTCTCTCTCTCTCTCTCTCATCCATCGCTCTCTCTCTCTCTCTCTCTCTCTCTATCATCCGTCGCTCTCTCTCTCTCTCATCCGTCTCTCTCTCTCTCGTGTCCGTCTCTCTCTCTCTCTCTCATCCGTCTCTCTCTCTCTCTCGTGTCCGTCTCTCTCTCTCTCTCTCTCTCTCATCCGTCGCTCTCTCTCTCTCTCTCTCTCTCACTATCCGTCGCTCTCTCTCTCTCTCTCTCGCTGTGCACCACCACAACAACAACAACAAGAGAGATTACATTTGTATCGCGCCTTTCGCGTCGGGAGGACTTGAATCCACACACACACACACACACACAGAGAGAGAAGAGAGCGTCTCTCTAAAGCTTTCGGTTCCTCCTCGGACCCACGACCTCTCTCTCTCTCTCCCTCCCTCCGTCCCTCCCTCCACCGTCCGTCCATTCTCCCTCCTTCCCTCCCTCCCTCCCTCCTGTTGAGGCCTGGAATATATGGCGAAACCAGTGGCTCAATTAGCCCCCGCGACCACTCAGACGATGTCTCGCTTGCCACACGCCTTGTGATGAAGGTAAGAGATGAGCTCGGGGAGGGAGGGGGGTGGGGGGGGGGCGAGAAACAGGAGACGAAGGCATAGGGGAGGGAGGGAAGGAGGGAGGGAGGGAGGGGAGAGAGAAGGGGGGGATTTCTAGGCAACAGTGTGTTTGTGAAGCTGACCCGAAGTCTCTTATTATTAATTCGCCCCCTTCAATATTTCACCCACAAAACACACAGTCACTTGACTTTACGGCGTGTCCCGTGAAGCGCTTTGAGACGTCTCTTAGACGTGATCAGCCGTCGGGTCGAACGCCGAGATTGTTATTATTGGTGGTATTATTCATTTGTGTGTTCATCTGTGTGTGTGTGTGTGTGTGTGTCTGTGTGTGTGTACGTATCTATGTGGATGTATCTGTGTGTGTATGTATCTGTGTGTGTGTATGTGTGTGTGTGTATGTATCTGTGTGTGTGTGTCTGTATCTGTGTGTGTATGTATCTGTGTGTGTGCGTGTATGTGTGTATGTATCTGTGTGTGTATGTATCTGTGTGTATGTATCTGTGTGTGTGTATGTATCTGTGTGTGTGTATCTGCGTGTGTATCTGTGTGTGTGTGTATCTGTGTGTGTGTATGTATCTGTGTGTGTGTATGTATCTGTGTGTGTGTGTATGTATCTGTGTGTGTGTGTGGAGTAAAGAAACTTGCCTAAGGTTTCGCCTTAGAACCCCGGGTCCCCCGGCTTGTGAGGCGAGGGGTGGGGGTGGGGGTGGGGGTCCAGCCCCCTGAGCTACATGTTAACACCCTGTGAGTGAGTGTGTCCACGACTGTGTTTGGGGACGCTGCTGTGCGTAATTGGCTGCTGCGTCTCACCAACACAACACAACACAACACACGGTCATTACACTCGACAGTATACACTGTACGTAGAGTATGCGGAGCTCCTGTGGCTCAGGGGTTTGAGCCCTCGGCTCACAAGCGAGAGGACCCGGGGTTCGATTCCCGGGCGGGGGGGCAAAACGTTGGGCAAGTTTCCTTACCCCCCCCTCCCCCCACATACACAACACAGACACGCGCACACACAGAGACAGACACATACACACAGACACACACAGAGACAGATACACACAGAGACAGACACTCACAGACACAGGACACACACAGGGCACACACACAGACTCAGGACACACACAGACACAGGACACACACGGACACACACTGACACAGACACAGACACACAAAGACAGACACAGGACACACACAGAGACAGACACACACAGGGGACACACACACACACACACACAGACAGAACACCGTCACTACGCTTGATGGCGTTATCCTCGTGAAGCGCTTTGAGACGCCTCGGGGACGCGATCAGGCGATCGGTTCTGGTTCTAACGTGATTCTCTCCGTCTCCCATTGCAGGTGGGTTCCGGTTCTTGCCGTGTCGCCCAACCACCGTACGAGAGAGGCTGAGAGCCAAGTGAGGCCGGTGTGGGGGGGGGGGGGGGGGGGGGGGGGGAGAGGAGGAGGAAGAGGAAGGGGACGCCCCCCCCCCTCCGAACAACGGCGAGATGAACGAAAACACCTTCTCCCGCATTCGGCTCTGGTGTCCGCGGCCGTTTTCTGGCTACGGACCGAACAAGACCGCCTGCTGCGTGGGTCTGAAACCGGCAACGGCGGCAGCGGCCGGTACCGGGGGGGGCGGCGAAGCCCGGCTGAAGGAAGGCGAGGTGCCCACGGCGACCGGGACGAATTCGGTGGCCCCTTGCCCTGCCGCCGGCGGCCTGGAGCGTCGTCGTTGGGGGGCAACGGCAACGACGGCGGTGGTGGAGGAGGAGGAGGAGGAAGAGGAGGCGGAGGAGGAGGAGGAAGAGCAGGGCAACCAGGTGATGTTGGACACGTGGTACGTCATCAAACCGGGCAACACCAGGGAGAAGATCGCCTTTTTCGTGGCGCACCAGTGCGGAGTGACCGGTACCGGCACCGGTACCGGCACCGGCTCCCGGCACAACCTCAACAGCATGAAGGTCAAAGGCAACTGGGAGACAGATGGCACCAAACCCAAGAGGAGGAGGAAGTCCCACGACCCCGGTAAACGGCCGCCTGGCCACCCCGGTGGCCGGGAAACCGGTCAGACCGAGACCCTCCGCCTCTGCCCGGCGGGGCCCGGCGACTCGTCCGCCGGCGGCGGCCCCGTGTGCCACACGGACTTGGTGTCGGTGGCCGAGATGGTGGCGTTGGTGGAGCAGAGGGCGAGCGCCGCGCTGCGCGGCTATGCCAAGCCCTGCCGCCACCCGGACACCGACACCAACCCCGACCCACCGACGACGTCTCCGGTGGTCAGCCGGGTCGACGAGGAAGACGATGATGAGGAGGAAGGTGGCGTCGAGTCCAGGGGAGCGCCGGACACCAACCGGGTGGCCGAAGCCATCGCCAAGATCGAGTCCGGTTTGCGGGAGCCACCGGGCGGCGGCGGCGGAGGCGGCGGAGGCGAGGAGGAGGAGGAGGAGGAGGAGGAGAAGGCTCTACCGAGGAGGAACGGGTTGTCGAAGGGGGAAGGGTCCGTTCCCGGGGGGAAGGCGGGGGGCGAGGTGAGGATCGCCTTCCGCGTGGCCAGCTCGGACAACCGGGCGACCGGGGAGCCACCGGTGGCCCACGCCAACCACGCCGGTGCCAACGCCGGCTGCATCTTCGTGAGCTGCAACCGGCAGGCGGTACCGGGACTCCGCCGGTCGGTGGAGAAGATCACCTGCGACCTGTACCAGCTCATCGGTCCCTCGCCCGACGGGGCTTTCCCCCCGGAGATCGGTCCCGACCGGGCGGGGGGCGTCTCCGGTTCCGCCGCCGTCGCCTCCGCCGCCAAACCGGCCACCGAGACCCCCGCCGACCGTCTTAACGGCTTCCACCTGGAGGTGGTGGTGACCGGCGGGGTGGAACCGTGCGTGTTTTTCGGCGAGGGGTCCGAGGAGGAGAGCCCCGGGACCGGGGTCGTGGGGCCACCGGGGGGCCCGGGAGGAGGAGGGGCCCCGGCCACCGTACGCGTGACCGTCAGCCCCGACCCCCAGCGCCGGTCCCTGGAGGAGGAGGAAGAAGCGGAGGAGGTGGAGGAAGAGGAGCCGTTACCGGGACAACTCTTCCTGCTCCACCGGCCCCCGGCGGGGCGCGCCCGGGGCTCGGGACCCGGGGGAGAGGCTCCCGGGCGCGGGGAGGGCGGCGGGAGCCTCGAGAGGAGGACAGCGGGGGGGGGCGGAGTAGGCGGCGGCGGCGGCGGCGGAGGGGGCGGCGGCGGCGGCGGGTCGGAGCCCATGTACTGCCTGTACCACCGGGTGTCTCACGACTTCCTGGAGATCCGGTTCAAGATCCAGCGGCTGCTGGAGCCCCGCCGGTACCTGCTGCTCCTTCCCGACCACATCACGGTCGGTATCCTCCGGTGCCTGCCCACCCGGTCGCTCGGCCGCCCTCAAGTGCACGTGCCGCCACTTCCGCGCCCTGATCGAGACCTACGGGGTCCGGGCCACCGACTGCCGGTGGAACCGGGACCCGCTGTACCGGGACGACCCCTGCAAGCAGTGCAAGCGCCGGTACCGGCGGGGCGACGTCTCGCTGTGCCGTTGGCACCCGAAACCTTACCACCACGACCTGCCTTACGGTCGCTCGTACTGGATGTGCTGCCGACAGAAGTACCGGGAGAGCCCGGGCTGCCGGGTCGGTCTCCACGACAACAACTGGCTGCCCCCGGTCACCGGCGACGGACCCGCCAAGAGGGAGGAGGGCAGGTGATAGGCTCTCCCCCCCCCCCCCCCTCTCTCTCTCTCTCTCTCTCTCCTTCCCTCCCTCTCTCTTTCCCTCCTTTTTCTTCTCCTCGACGCGCTCCCCCCACCCCCACCCTCCTCTCTCTCTCTCTTCTTCGCCCCTCTCCCCCTCCTCTCTTCCTCCCTCCTTTTTCCTCTCCCCCCCCCATCCCCGACGCGCTCCCAACCCCCCCCCCTCTCCTCTCTCCTTCCCCCCCTCTCTTCCTCCCTTTTTCTCTTCCCCCATCCCCGACGCACTCCCCCCCCCCTCTCGCCTCTCCTTCCCTCTCTTTTCCTTCCCTCCCTTTTTCTCTCTCCCCCCCCCCCATCCCCGACGCGCTCCCCCCACTCTCTCGCTCTCTCTTCTTCCTCTCTCCTTCCCTCTCTCTTCCCCCTCTCCTCTCTCTCTCTCTCTCTCGCTCCTCCACTCCTCGTCCTCACCCCTCCACAACCCCCCCCCCAACCCCCACCGCGTCTCTCGTCTCTCTCTCTCTCTCTGTCTGACTCTCCTCTCACCTCTCCTCTCCCTCTCCCCCTTCCTCATTCACCCTCTCTGACTTCCTCGTTCTCTTCTCTCATCTCCTCCCTTCATCTCCCTCCACCTTCTCTCCTTTATCTCGGCCCACTCGTACTTTCTCTCTCTCTCTCTCTCTCTCTCTTTCTCTCTCTTCTTCCTTTATCTCTCCTCTTCTTCATTTCTCATCTCCTATTCCCCCTCTCTCTCTCTCCCCCTCTCTTGTTATCTCCCCCTCTGTCTCTCTACCCCCCCTCTCTCTCTCACTCTCTCTCTCCCCCCCACCCCCACTCCCTCCCTCCTTGCCTCTAACAGAGCAGGTTAATGTGTGTGTGTGTGTGTGGTGTGGTGGGGGGGGGGTAAGGAGTCAATGACATTTCAGTGTCAGTTGTTGAACGCATGATGATGATGATGATGATGATGATGTCTATTTTATTTCCGTTTGATCCCTGTGGTTGGAAAGGGGGGTGGGGGGGGGGGGGACGTGGGGTGAAGTGGGGGGGAGTTTGACCCAAAGCCCGTGTCCGTGTCGGCACATATTTTAGCGGAATATGTGGCTTTGTATCGTTCAAAGAATATATATATATATATTAATATCAAATTCCAAGTGGTATTCCCGTGAGTTCAACTGGAAAATTGTTCCCATTAGTGTCTCCCTCCCCCCAACCCCCACCCCACCCCAGCCCCCACACCCCCCCCAGCCCCCCACAACTCCCCCCCCCAGCCTCCCACAACCCCCCCCCAGCCCCCCAACCCCCCCCCCCAGCCCCCCAACCCCCTTTTATCAGGTCAACGCAGACCCTAATCTGCGCTGTTTGTTATCGGGATTTCTCAATGGGAAACGTGTGATGGTGGGATTTCTGGAGCCTGGAATCTGCTGGGAAGTGGTGGGGGGGGGGGGGGGGGGGTGGAGGAGGGGGAGAGGTGTTATAGAGGGGCACAATTATAGAGGGGGGACGTGGGATTCAAGGGCTGCGTTTTATACAGAGGGGGATATACAGGGGGTGTTATACAGAGGGGGTTATACAGGGGGGTGTTATACAGAGGGGGTTATACAGGGGGGTGTTATACAGAGGGGGTTATACAGGGGGTGTTATACAGAGGGGGTTATACAGGGGGGTGTTATACAGAGGAGGTTATAAGGGGGTGTTATACAGAGGGGGATATACAGAGAGTGTTATACAGAGGGGGTTATACAGGGGGGTGTTATATAGAGGGGGTTATACAGGGGGGTGTTATACAGAGGGGGTTATACAGGGGGTGTTATACAGAGGGGGTTATACAGGGGGTGTTGTACAAGGGCTCCAGGTTTGCAGAAATTAAAACACTCGCACATTTCCTATTAAGAAATCCCTTGAGGAACTTCGCAAGTTAGAGAGACGGCGAAAAGTCTTTTTATTGGTCAGTTTCGACGTAAAAATGTGATTCCCCCCCCCCCAAAAAAAAAGGGGGGGGGTTTCGCCCACAAGATACACAGTCACTACACTTCACAACGTACGCCGTGAAGCACTTTCTCTCTCCAAAAAAAGAGCCTTCGGTCTGTTTCGCTCGCGATTGAAATTCAACACCTTAAATCGCTGCTTTTTTTTTCCCCCCATTTCCGTATCTTTTTTCAGCTCAAAAATTCCCCCCACTTCTCCCCTCTCTCTCTCTCCCTCGTGGTACCAAATCACTTGAGCGTGTGTGTGTTTTTTTGGGGGGTTGGGGTTTGGGAAAGTAAAGTCTAATTTGCGACATTTCTTAAAACCTTTTCTGAATCGGAAAAGAAAGCTGTTGTTGATATTATTATTCTTTGTGGGGAGCCATCGCCTCGCAAACCATTCGATTCCCGGGCGGGTCAAGTCAGGGGGATACCTTTGGGCAAACCTCCTTACTCCACACACACACACACCCACACACACACCCACACACACACCCACACACAGACGCACACCCAAACACACCCACATACACAGACGCACACACACAACACACACGCCTCGCTTTTCCAGGGGTAATAATCCCTTCCCCCCCCCTTCCCTTTCCCCCCCACCGCCCCCAGCCCCCCAAAAAAAATTGGGGCTCACTCCACAGACGACTGTTTGTGGGACGCTGCTGTGCGCAATCGGCTGCCGCGATTTACCCCACAAATGCACACTTTTACTGTGAAGCGCTTTGAGACGTCGCGACGATGTCATGAGGCGTTCTATCAAATGCAAGAATTATTATTATTATTATTGTTGTTGTTGTTATTAATATTATTCCCGTTTTCCAATGCGCGACGCCAGGAAACCTCACCTGTGCCGGGGTGGGGAGTGGGTGGTGGGGGGGGGGGGGTGGGGGGTGGAATTTTTTGGCAATTTGCCTCCCTTCCCCCACCCTCCCTTCCGCCCCCACCCCGTTAGGAAATCGGTTGAGGAAACCGCAGTGAATGATTATCACCGAAATCGGGGCTATTTTTTTTGCTGTTGGTCAAACCGTCGACAGACATTTTCACTCTCCCCAACCCCTCCTCTCTCTTCCCACCCCCCCAACCCCTCCTCTCTCTTCCCACCCCCCCCAACCCCTCCTCTCTCTTCCCACCCCCCCCAACCCCTCCTCTCTCTTCCCACCCCTCCCAACCCCTCCTCTCTCTTCCCCCCCCCCAACCCCTCCTCTCTCTCCTTCCCCTCCCCAACCCCTCCTCTCTCTCTCCCCCCCCAACCCCTCCTCTCTCTCCCCCCCCTCCCAAATCCCTCCTCTCTCTCCTTCCCCCTCCCAAACCCCTCCTCTCTTTCCCCCCCTCCCCAACCCCTCCTCTCTCTCCCCCACCACAGACATTTCCCCCCTCTCCAACCCCTCCTCTCTCCCCCCCCTCCCCACCACAGAAACATGTGCTTTTTTTTCCTTTTAAAAGCAAAATGAAAGCTATTCCTGTGATTGATGCTGTATGTTTCCGTGGAGATGTATAAAGTTTTTTTTTTACGAAACAAAATAAGGGAAACTTTTTCGCCTCTGATTATTCTTTCGCGGCTCAAGTCAACGGAGAGACCCCCTTTGCCCCCTTCCTTTTGGGGAGGGACGTCCTCCCGACGTGAAAGGCGCTCTATAAATGGAATCTTGTTGTTGTTGTTGTTGTTGAAGTGTCTCTCACACACACATACAGTGTCACACACTCACTCAGACACACACACAGTGCCTCACACACACACTCAGTGTCTCACACACATACACACACACTCACCCAGACTCAGACACACAGCGTCACACTCACACACTCTCACGTCCCCACTCCCGCACCCACACTTTATTTCACCCACTCGCACTCCTTTTTTCTCTCACTCACATCTTTCATCACTCTGTCTTTCTCGCGCTCACACACAGTCGAACACGCACTCTCACACTTTCTCACACTCCCTCCCTCGCTCACACGTACTCTTCTCACACTAAAATGGTTTCTCAAACTCTCTATCTCCATCTTACACTCTTATCTCTCAACCACATTCTCTTTTTCTTCTATCAGTCTCTCTCCCTCACACACACACATTCTCTCTCTCTCTCACACACTCATACTCTCTTTCACACACACTCTCACACTCATACACTCTCACAAACATGATTTCTCATTGTCTCACACACACACATCGTCTCTGACACACAGTTTCTCTCTTACACACTCACAAACACACTATTTCTCTCATCCTCTCTCACACAGTCTCTGACACACACACAGACACACTCTCTCACACTCATACTCTCTTTCACACACACTCTCACTCATACCCTCTCACAAACATGATTTCTCTCTCACTCTCTCTCACACACACATCGTCTCTGACACAGTTTCTCTCTTACACACTCACACTCACAAACACACGATTTCTCTCATACTTCCTCTCACGTTGTCTCTGACACACACACTCATACACTCTCTCACTCTGTTTCTCTCTCTCTCTCTCTCTCTCACACACACACACACTCGATAACACCCCCTCTATCTCTTCCCCTCTCTCTATCTCACACACACACACTCTCTCTCTCTCTCTCTCTGTATGGGAGGAAGTGTTACGGATGAACAAACCTCCCTGCGCAGCCTCACTGATCCGGCCACGTGTGTGAGTGTGTAAGACAGAGAGAGAGAGGAGAGTGAGAGAGAGGGGGAGAGTGAGTGAGAGGAAGATAGAGAGAGGGGGCGAGTGAGTGAGAGGGAGATAGAGAGAGGGGGAGAGTGAGTGAGAGAGGGGTAGAGAGAGAGAGGGGGAGAGTGAGTGAGAGATAGAGAGAGAGGGGGAGAGTGAGAGAGAGGGGGATAGAGAGAGAGGGGGGAGTGAGAGAGAGGGGGAGAGTGAGAGAGAGGGGGATAGAAAGAGAGGGGGAGAGTGAGTGAGAGGGGGATAGAGAGAGGGGGAGAGTGAGTGAGCGTGAGAGGGCGGTACAGAGAGAGGACGGGGGGAGGGAGGATGTGAGTGAGTGAGTGAGTGAGTGACAGACGAGAGAGATGGAGTCTGTGTGAGTGACTTGTGGGTGAGTTGGCGATGGCCGGGGCTCGGGCGAGGGGGTGGCCCGGGCCTGGGAGCCTGGTGCTGGGCTGTGTGGCGTGTCTGATCCTCCTGATTGCGCTGTATCTCAGCCCCCAGGAGCCAGAGGCCGGGCCGGGGCTGGAACCGGGGCTGGAACCGGGGGAACGGCGGGACTGGCGTCAGGAGCAGGTGAGAGGGGGGAAGAGAGGGAGAACCGCTCGTCTGCCACAACGTATCCGCTTTGGAACACAATGTATCCGCTTTGGAACGCGATGTATCCGCTTCGGAACGCGATGTATCCGATCCCTGTGTATCCCGCCGCTCAAGCGGCAACATTGTTGCTCGTTCCAATAACACCCACCACCACCGCCGCCGCATTGATAGAGCGCCTTTCACGTCGGGAGGACGTCCCGAGGCGCTGGACAGTTGGGTCGGGACCCGAGCATTGTGGGGGGGGGGGGGGGGGAGATGGTCAGGGTGAGGGGGGGGAGGGAGGGAGCGAGGAGGGGGGAATGGTCAGGGTGAGGGGGGGAAGGGAGGGAGCGAGGAGGGGGGAATGGTCAGGGTGAGGGGAGAGGAGGGAGGGAGCGAGGAGGGGGTAGAGAGTCGAGAGGGGAGCTGAAGGCTCGGTCGAAGAGAAGGGTCTTGAGACCGGCCTTGAAGGAGGAAAGGGAGGAAGCGGCGAAGGCACTGGGGATGGGGTTCCAGAGCCTCGGGGCTGAGAGGCTGAAGGCCACCGATGTTGGGGCGGTTGGGGCGGGGGACGTGGAGCAGACCGGAGCCAGAGGAACGGAGGGTACGGGCAGGTACGTGGGGGGATAGTAGGTCGGAGAGGTAGGAGGGAGCGAGGCCGTGAATGGCCTCGTAGGCGAGGATGAGGATCTTGAATTCGAGTAACAACAGGAAACCCTTCGCATTGGGGACACAGCGCCCGTCAACCGGGGCCCAGGACGCCTCCAAAGTGCTTCACCGGGACACGCTGCGTACCGGGTGTAGTGACAGTACGGTTTGCGGGCCGAACCCTCGCGGCCCGGTATTCTCTCCTTTTTTTCTGCGGGCGCGGGCGCCGCTGTATCCCGCGAAGCGCTTTGAGACGTCTTGAAGGCGCCATAAACCGCCGGGATGTATTAGGGGTTGTAAATAAAAAGATATTTGGTTTAATTCAGGCGCGGGTTTTGACTGCTAAATGTACTTATTTCTGACACATCTCTCTTTCTCTCTCTCTCTCTCTCTCTGCCTCTTTCTCTCTGTCTCTCTCTCTCTCTCTCTGCCTCTTTCTCTCTGTCTCTGTCTCTCTCTCTCTCTCTATGTCTCTCTCTCTCTCTCTTCTCTCTCTGTCTCTCTCTCTCTCTCTCTCTCTCTCTCTCACACTCTCTCTCTCTCGCAGTTACATCACAAGGCCAAGCGACTGGCAGACAGTAAAGTCCGACACTTTGCTTCCCTGACTGACGTCCAGCGACTGTGGTCTGATTTCCTGGAGCCGATGCTGATCGTGAGGTACCCTGGGTCAGAGGGTATCAAACGGGTCAGGCAGGTGAGTTCTGGAACTTTCTGCCCCCCCACCCCCAACCCCAGGATAATCCACAGACAGACAGACAGACAGATGGACACAGACAGACAGACGGACGGACACAGACAGAGATAAATGGACCCAGACCGACATACGGACCCAGACAGACAGACAGACAGACAGACGTGTGACTTGTCGATGCCCGTGTTTATGGTCCCGGCAGCACATTGTGGAGCGGATCAGGTCACTGGGGGCCGGTTGGCAGTTGGAGTTCGACACGTTCGAGGCGGAGACGCCTCTCGGGGCCCGGACCTTCTCTAACCTGGTGGCCACCCTGGCCCCCGGGGCCCCCCGGCGACTCGCGCTCGCCTGTCACTACGACTCCAAGTTCTTCGGCTCTGACTCTGGCTTCGTGGGGGCCACGGACTCGGCTGTTCCCTGCGCCATCATCCTGGAGCTCGCCACCGCCCTCAACACCCAGCTCCATAGGCTGCTCAACAAGGTACCCCGGGGGGTGTCTCTGTCTGTCTGTGTGTCACTGTGTGCGTGTGTGCCACTGTCTCTGTGTGTGTATCACTATGTGTGCACGTGTGTGTGTGTGTGTTACTATGTGTGTACGTGTGTGCGTGTCACTGCGTGTGTGTGTGTTACTGTCTCTCTGTGTATGTGTGTGTCACTGTCTGTGTGTGTGTGTCACTGTTTCTTTGTCTGTGTCTGTGTGTGTGTTACTGTCTGTGTGTGTGTGTGTGTGTGTGACTTTTTCTGTGTGTGTGTGTGTCACTGTGTGTGTGTGTCACTGTTTCTCTGTCTGTTTGTGTCACTGTTTCTGTGTGTGTCACTGTTTCTCTGTGTGTCTCTGTGTGTGTGTGTGTCACTGTCTCTCTCTCTCTGTGCGTCACAGGATTCGGAGCTGACGCTACAGTTGGTGTTTTTTGACGGGGAGGAGGCACTGGTTGAGTGGACGCCAACCGACTCTCTGTACGGCTCCCGGCACCTGGCGGAACGCATGGCAAACACCAGCCACCTTCACGGCAACACCGGGACCACCCTCATCGACTCCCTGGTGAGAGAGCGTGGGGGGAGAGAGAAGGGGGGGGGAGAGAGAGGGGTGGAATGGGGGGGGGGGGATCTAACCCACACTGTCAGTGGGAGCTTCACTGCGTCTCTAGCCCTCACCCTGGGGAGTGTGGACGGATGCACAGTGTAGTGACTGTGTGTGTGTGTGTGTGTGTGTGCGCGCGCTCGTGTGTTGATGTCAGTCTCTTGTGTGTTTAAGGACCTGTTTGTGCTGCTGGATCTCCTGGGAGCTCCTGAACCCTTTTTCCTGAACCATTTCAGGAGTTCCTCTCGCTGGTTCAACCGGCTGCTGAACATCGGTGAGGAACGCCACCCGTCGGGGGAGAAGGGGGTTGGCGGGCGCTCGGAAGGGGGCAAGGGGGGGGGGGGGCAGCCTGGCGTGATGCGGGGCGGGAGTGGGCAGGGGTGGGGGGGTGGTATATGTGAGTCCCTGGAGCTCAGGGGTTAGACCCCCCCCTCCCTCGCCTCGCAAGCCAGAGAGACCCGGGCACACACGCACACGCACGGGTACCCCCCCCCGACGACCGCGATCAACCCCCTCCCAGAGGCAGGGCTTGTGCCAGGCTCTGGGGGGGGGGGGGGGGGCAGAGCCATGCTGGTCCTGATGCTGTGTTTCGCATTGTTTCCCCCCACCCCCCATGTTCCTCTCCCCTCCCCCTGTTTCCCCCCACCCCACCCCCACCCGTGTCACAGAGAAGCGGCTGCACAAGTTGGGAGAGCTGCAGCAACACCCACTGGAGTTGACTTACTTCAACCGCGAACTTTACTACGGCCCCGTGGAGGACGATCACATTCCCTTCCTGCAGAAAGGTGGGGGCGGTGGTGGGGGGGCAGGGCTTGGGGAGGGGAGTGTAGGGCTTGGGGAGAGTGGGGGCAGGGCTTGGGGGCAGATGGAAAGAGGCGGGGCTGGGGAGGGGGTGGCACATGTGGGGACGAGTGGGGTTGGGGTGGGGGGTGGGTTAGGGCATGAGGAGAGGTTAAGAGGCAGATGGGGGGGGTAGGGCATGACTTGTCAGTCAGTAACACTCTTCCCCCCCTCTCTCCACTCTCTCCCCCTCCTCTCCCCTCTTCTCTCCCCCTTCCTCATCTCTCCCCCCCTCTCTCTTCCCCCCCCTCACCCTCTCCTTCCCCCCACCCCCAGGGGTCCCAGTCCTGCACCTGATCGCGACGCCCTTTCCCCAGGTCTGGCACACGGTGGAGGACACAGCTGAACGGCTTCACACCCCGACAATCCACAACCTGTGCAAGATCCTCACCATCTTCTTGGCTGAATACCTGCACCTCTAGACGAGGCCTCCCACAACCTTCCGTCTGCGAGGGGTGGGGGGGTTGTGTGTGGGGGTGGGAGTGGGGGTTGCAGGAGAAGCGGGGAGAGGAGAGGAGAGAGCGGGAAGGGGAGGGGTGGCAAAGTGAGGAGAAAGGTGGCAGAGGAGAGGGGCGAGAGAGAGAGAGAGAGAGAGGGGTGGGGAGAAAGAAGGGAAAGGGGGTGGGGCGAGGGGGGAGTGGGGGTCAGTGACTTGACTCAAAACTGACTGACTGACTGGGGTCACTGCCCCCCCCCGCCCCCCCCACCAACCACCACCACCGTCCCCCCCAAGTTTCCAAACCCAACCTCTCATTCCCAAACCTCTTCGGGTGTTTTTTTTCTAGATTTTTTCCCCCAATTCCCCCCCCCCCAGTTCGCCTCCGAATTTCTCTCAGGGACTCTGAGCTCACAGTCCAGGCGATGCCCCGGGGGCAGCGTTGGGAGTGAGGGGGGGAGAGAGAGAGAGAGAGAGACAGAGCACCACAGTCGATCGGGGGAATCACCTTTCGGGGGTAATAAACCCTTCAAAACAATAATAATTCGGACAGACTTCACGTGGATATTATTTAATTGGCAATTGTTTGACATTCAAATAAAATAATTTTATGGTTCAGTAATAAAAATGTTTAAACAAATCCGCAAATAAAAAAAAGGAAAAATATTCTGGTTAAAACCTGCGGAATATTTATTGTCTGTGGGACATTCCCCACAGAGGGAATATTAGAGAGAAAAAATTATATTCCGTGTTGTCGCACATATAATTCCTTCAAAATAAAATAATTCGGTCACTTCAATCCACGACTGTTTGTGGGGACGTCGATGGGCGCAATCGGATGCTGCGTTTCGCCCACAAAACACACAGTCACTACACTTCGCAGTCTGTCCCTTTGAAGCGCTTTGAGACGTCTCAAAGACGTGATAAGGCGCCGGGTCCAATGCCGGGATCATTATCTTCTTGTTATGTAATCGGTTTAAATTTTATATAACAATAATATTACAATAATATTAATAATAATATCATTTAAATTCGCTGATCGGAAATTCTCTCCGTAAAAATCCGCCTGAGGATTATTTTTCCACTTTTTATCCCGATCTTCGCGTCGTTCTGTAATTGTTTTTACGTCGAAGAAAAAAAAATAACATTTAAAAATATGTTGCGAGGCGAGGGGTCTAACCCCCCCCCTTACGAGGCGTCTCACCCCCCCGAGCGAGGCGAGGGGTCTAACCCCCCCCTTGCGAGGTGAGGGGTCTAACCCCCACCCCTTGCGAGGCGTCTCACCCCCCCCTTGCGAGGCGAGGGGTCTAACCCCCCCCTTGCGAGGCGAGGGGTCTCACCCCCCCCTTGCGACCTCATCACTCTTGTCGAGACGTCTCAAAAGCGCTTCACGGAACACACTGTAAAGTGTAGTGACTGTACATGTTGTGGGCAAAAGTGGCAGCCAATTTGGGGGGTTGGGGGGGGGGAAGGATTTTTTTTTGGGGGTGGTGGGGGGGACGATTACCTCCGGAAAGCGATCGGCCGGTCGACTAACGAGTTCGGGTTCGTTCCTACTTACTGAGGTGTGTAAGGAAACTGGGGGGGGTGGTGGGGGGGGAGTGGGGTGGGGGGGAAATGGGGGGAACGCAAGATCGAGAGAGAGAGAGAGAGAGAGAGAGAGGGAGGGAGGGAGGGAGAGGGAAGCCAAGAGGTTTTATGTATGTTTTGATTTTATTTCCTTCTTACACGGACAACGATCAACCGGAGGGACACCCGATCACAAACACCACCGAAAATATCGGGCGAAGATAAAATAGTTTGTGAGCGGCTGTGATTTTCCCCCCTTCTCCCCCCGCGCACCCCCCCCCCAACACCAACCAATAATAATAATAATAATAATCCTTGCATTTGACACCCACGGAAACCCGTCACCGTGACCGGTCGGGTGTCTGACACACACGGAAACCCGTCACCGTGACCGGTCGGGTGTCTGACACACACACAACGGAAACCCGTCACCGTGACCGGTCGGGTGTCTGACACACACACACGGAAACCCGTCACCGTGACCGGTCGGGTGTCTGACACACACACGGAAACCCGTCACCGTGACCGGTCGGGTGTCTGACACACACGGAAACCCGTCACCGTGACCGGTCGGGTGTCTGACACACACGGAAATCCGTCACCGTGACCGGTCGGGTGTCTGACACACACGGAAACCCGTCACCGTGACCGGTCGGGCGTCCGACACACACGGAAACCCGTCACTGTGGCTTAAGAGTCTCCGAACCCGACCGAGAATTCCCCACATCCCCTCCACACCCGGGAACCCCAGAGAGAGAGTGTCGGGATGGGATGCGCTCTCTCTCTCTCTCTCTCTCTGGAGGGACGCCCTCTGTTTACCTAATTCCGGAGAGTATTAGGCGCAGGTTGGGCGAGAGCCGAGGCTTGTGGGGTGGGGGGGGGGAGGTATGGAGGGAGGGGGGGAGGATGCCCAGAGAATTTGTCTCCCTCCGGTGGTGAATGCGAGGAACCACAACCCCTGGAACTCCACAGGGATTACTGACCAGTGTAGTGACTGTGTGCGTGTGTTTTTTTTTGTAGGCAGCAGCTGCTTTGCACACAGACAACGTCCCCGCAAACAGCCGAGTGATTTTATCCGGGGTGGGGGTGGGGGGGGGGTGGGGGGATTGACTGCCAGCAGAGAAAGAGAGAGAGAGAGAGAGAGAGAGAGAGAGAAATTCCCTTCTCATTTCCGGATATCATCATAATAATGCATTTGGTGTATGTTGCTGAACGTGCCACTCTGTCAGGTGTAGTGACTGTGTGTTTTGGGGGCCAATCGCGGTAGCCGATCGCGCCCGGCGACGTCCCCACGAACAGCCGGGGGTTGAAGC